GGGTTCAGGCAATTCTCCTGCCTCAGCCTCCTGAGTAGCTGGGATTACAGGCATGCGCCACCATGCCCAGCTAATTTTTTGTATTTTTAGTAGAGATGGGGTTTCACCATGTTGACCAGGATGGTCTCGATCTCTTGACCTCGTGATCCACCCGCCTCTGCCTCCCAAAGTGCTGGGATTACAGGTGTGAGCCACCGCGCCCGGCCAATTTTTTTTTATTTTTAGTAGAGACAGGGTTTCACCATCTTGGCCAGGCTGGTCTGGTCTTGAACTCCTAACCTCATGATCCACCCGTCTCGGCCTCCCAAAGTACTCAGATTATAGGCATGAGCCACTGCGCCCGGCCTGCAATTATATTTTTATCAATTTTTTTTTTTGGGCGAGTCAATCTAGTAATTCTTTTCTTTTCCTTTCTTTTTATCGAGACAGAGTCTCACTCTGTCACCCAGACTGGAGTGCAACAGCGCAACCTTAGCTCACTGCAACCTCCACCTCCTGGGTTCAAGCGATTCTCACACCTCAGCCTCTAGAGTAGCTGGGACTACAGGCACCTGACACCATGACTGGCTAAATTTTGTATTTTTAGTAGAGATGGAGTTTCACCATGTTACCCAGGCTGGTATTGAACTCTTGACCTCAGGTGATTCACCCACTGCAACCTCCCTAAGTGCTGGGATTACCAGCATGAGCCACCTCACCTGGCCAATTTTTTTTTTTTTAAGATGCAACATTTTCCAGCCCAGGCAACACATGAAAACCCCATCTCTACAAAAAATTAGCCAGGCACAATGGTGCACACCTGTAGTCCCAGCTACACAGGAGGCTGAGGTGGGAGAATCACCTGAACCCAGGAGGTTGAGGCTGTAGTGACCCAAGATCATGTCACTGCACTCCACCCTGGGCAACACATGAAGTCACTGTCTTAAAAAAAAAAAAAAAAAGAGAGAGAGAGAGAGAGAGAACAATGTCTCAATATGTTGCCCAGGTTGGTCCTGAGCTTCCGGGCTCAAGTGATCTTCCCACCACCTTGGTCTCTTAAAGTGTTAGGATTACTGGTATGAACCACCACACCTAACCCAAAGTTCTTATTTTTTCTATTGTGACACATTAGAACAATAGCCCCCCCAACACACACACACACACACACACAACCCTGATACAGTAGAAGAGAAAAAGGAGGCACTGAAATCGCCCTTTAAAAACAAGGAGTCTCAAAATTGTCTTCAGCATAGAGAAGATGATTACCTTGACACACTTCACGTTTATTCCCGGACACACAAACTTCTTCCAGAGGAGGATGGCTTTGCTCTCCCCACAAGTTATGGGGTAAGCAATTTCCATATCCTCATTTGCTTCTATAGTGCCTGCATCTGAAAACAGAAAAAAAAATCAGTTATTTATCGAACAACTCTTCCCCAAAGCTTAAATTCAAAATCTCTAGTCTCCTGGTTCCTCTGAGGGACTAACACTTCACAATCTTTCTGGTATTAAGAATCCTCTGGAAGAAGTTTGGCTGAACAGCTATCTCTTCCCAAGCTCCCACAGTATGCCAGACACTATACTATATACTTTTACATACTTAAATCTTATTTAGTTCTTACAACAATCCTGTGAGGCAGTGATTGTTTCCTAGGTGTGTATGTGCATTTTTGTTTGTTTATTTTATTTTTTGTGAGATGGAGTCTCACTCTGTCACCCTGGCTGGAGTGCAGTGGCACGATCTCGGTTCACTGCAACCTCCGCCTCTAGGTTTCAAGAATTATCCTGGCTTGCCCTTCCAAGAGCTGAGATTACAGCCATACACCACATACCACCAGGCCCGGATAACTTTTGTATTTTTGGTGGAGACAGGGTTTCACCATGTTGGCCTGGCTATACTCAAACTCCTGACCTCAAGTGATCCACCCACCTCGGCCTCCCGAAGTGCTGGGATTATAAGCATGAGGTACCTCGACAAATATAGGTGGTTTTTAAATTAATTAATTTATTTATTTATTGTTTCCTAAGTGTTCAATATAAGCATATGGGCCTCCAAAAGGCTAACTGACTTTCCCAAGGACATACTAAAAGGTGAGGAATAGGGATTTAAACTCAGGTTTGTTAAATTTCAAAGTTTCTTTTTTTTTTTTTTAATTCTTTTTTAATTTTATTAAATTTCAAAGTTTCTTTCCAGTTTTCTTCTAGTCAATACCTCATCAGTCATCATCAACAACTTCTTTAATGACAGGGATCAACTTTGAGGCTCCAATTTCTAAGTGGGATTTTTTTTTTTTTTTTTTTTTTTTTTGAGATGGAGTCTTGCTCGGTAGCCCAGGCTGGAGTGCAGTGGCGCGATCTCAGTTCACTGCAACCTCCACCTCCTGGTTCCAGTTCAAGCAAGTCTCCTACCTTAGCCTCCCAAGTAGCTGGGATTACAGGTGTGAGCCACCAGGGCTGCTAATTTTTGTATTCTTAGTAGAGACGGGGTTTCACCATGTTGGCCAGGCGGGTCTTGAACTCCTGACTTCATGATTCGCCTGCCTCAGCCTCCCAAAGTGCTGGGATCACAGGCGTGAGCCACCGCGCTTGGCCTCTATGTGGTATTTTTATAGATAAAAAGTCTTTTCAGTTACCCTTCCAAACTGATGTTAACCAACCAATTGACGACCCTAGCATCTTAGGGAGTGGTTTCTCTAGAAGTACCACCATCAAATTGAGGGCTGTAGTACTGGTAAGGGCACACTGGGATGGGAGAAAAACATAAGGTACAGATGGCAAGAAAACTTGACCAAGGAAGCTAAGGTCAAAGGTATTAGAATAACAACAACAACAACAACAAAAAAAACCTTACCAATCCCTTCTTCAATTTTGTGTATCGTGTGCGTTTCTACTGCTACAACTGCTGTGTTGTTCTCCGACCCGGCTTCATATATCCTGTTGTAAAAGTGTCCATCGATAAACAAACTACATAAATCATGAAAAAATTAATATTCACAGCATGGGATTAAGAAATTTGTTTTAATCTATCTCAAAAGAAATAAAATAGATACACTTTATAACTCTGACTTGTTTCCCACTGTATTTAAACTCCAAACTTCCCAGGATTGCTTAGCAGCTTCTACCATGGAAATCAATCAACAACTCTCCTAACCTCAAAAGAAAGTAATTCTTGCTACTTATTTATTTACACCATCACTTACTACTGTATTACACCAGAGTTTTCCCTTCATAAATTTATTTTTTAAATGTCAGTAGTGGAACGATCCATGCTTTTTACTTGCAAAGGGTGAACAGAAAGCTACCACATTTCTCTAGGACATTTACAAAGAGCTACTTTCACTTTGAGAAGAAACAATAAAAATAAATGTCTGCTCCTTTCACAGATTTAAATGGGCCAGGCATGGTGGCTCATGCCTGTAATCCCAGCACTTTGGGAGGTCACAGTGGGCAGATCACCTAAGGTCAGGAGTTCAACACTAGCTTGGCCAACATGGCAAAACCCCGTTTCTACTAAAAATGCAAAACATTAGCTGGGTGTGGTGGCGGGTGCCTATAATCTCAGCTACTCGGGAGGCTGAGGCAGGAGAATCAACTGAATCCGTGAGGCAGAGGTTGCTGTGAGCTGAGATTATGCCACTGAACTCCAGCCTTGGCAAGAAGAGCAAAACTATGTCTCAAAAAAAAAAAAAAAAAAAACTTTAAATGCTCGTAACACAGTATTGCTTCAAGTACACAATTAATTCATATTATGGAATTAGCCTGAGAAGACTAAAAAGCAATACCAGCAGATAGTTTGAGACAGGAAGAACCATACTGACTAAAAAGCTGATGTCCCTTGTTGGAAAATGTATATTTTGCTGGGGGTGGAGGAGAGGGCGTATTTTTTTTTTGTATCTTTTTTTTTTTTTTTTTTTTGAGAGAGTCTTATTCTGTTGCCCAGGCTGAAGTGTAGTGGCACGATCTTGGCTCACTGCAACCTCTGACTCCTAGGTTCAAGGCATTCCCCTGCCTTAGTCTCCCAAGTAGCTGGGACTACATGTGTGCCACCACTCCCGGCTAATTTTTGTATTTTCAGTACAGACAAAGTTTCACAACGTTGGCTAGGCTGGTCTTGAACCTCTGACCTCAGGTGATCCACCCGCCTCGGCTTCCCAAAGTGCTAGGATTACATGAGTGAGCCACCACGCCCAGCTCATATTAGCATCTTTTAAGGTACCAAGCTACTGACATGGGCTAAGCCTAATGGGAGAAAAGTAAGAGAGAAACTATAGCCAACGTAACTAGGAATGACTAGAGGCACCACTTAGAGGTTATATAATATAGATCTCTCCAAGATGGGCTCGGATAACGTAACTTGATACATCAACATCCTTTAATTTCTATAATAAACCTATGTGCTAATTATTGCATCTTGTTACTTGAAAGCACTGCTTGAATAATCTTTTCTGTATCAATGACTATCTACCTCCACAGTGACACCTCTAGCTCAGACCTCCCTTCTGAATTTCACATCCAGACATAGCCAACTGCTAAATGAATAAATACATTTGGAAGTCCCAGAGGACTTTGTCGAATTCATTAAGTCTAAAATAACCACTAAATTCTCTTCCTTTTCCCACCCATCCTCAAATTACTCTTCTTCCTATACTGTTAATGGCACCTTCCCTTGTTAATGGCACCACCCAGCACACTGTAGGCAGAAATCTAGGAATTACACTTGATTTGTTTTTTTTCCTTCTTCTCAACTCCATATAGTCGGTCACCAAATCCTGCTGGATGCATCACTTTAACACTATCCATCCTTCCTGTCTCTATGTCTACTGCTACTTGCCTTAACTCAGGCCTCAACATTTCTAGACTAGTATCCTTGCAACTAATTAATCTTCTACATTCTCACCAGATTGATTATGTGATTTCCTCTTTAAAATCCCTCAAACACCCTCTCTCCTCGTAAAGCTCCAAATCCTTTATATGATACTTAAGCCTCTTCAATATCTGGCCCCTAGTTTCAACTCTTCCCAAATCTCACCTTAAAATCCAAGTTTCAGCACTACCAAGCTATTTGTGGTTCCCAAAAGTGACATCTTTTTTTTTTTTTTGAGACAGAGTCTCATTGTTGACCAGGCTGGAGTGCAGTGGCACGATCTTGGCTCACTGCAGCCTTTGCCTCCCGGGTTCAAGCAATTCTCCTGCCTCAGCCTCCTGAGTAGCTGGGACTATAGGCGGGCACCACCACGCCTGGCTAATTTTATATTTTTTAGTAGAAACGGGGTTTCATCATATTGGACAGGCTGGTCTCAAACTCCTGACCTCATGATCTGTTCACCTTGCCCTACCAAAGTGCTGGGATTACAAGCATGAGCCACTGCACCTGGCTCATCTTCTTATATCTTCTATCTTTCTCTGACTTCTGCCCCTTCCCAGAACATTCTTCTCCACCTGTCTTTTTTTTTTTTTTTTTTTTAGACAGGGTCTTGCTCTGTTGCCCAGGCTAGAATGCAGTGGTGTGATCATAGTTCACTGCAGCCCTAACCTCCCTGGCTCAAGCAATCCTCTACCTCAGCCTCTTGAGTAGCTGGGACTGCACGCATGTGACACCATATGTGGCTAATTTTTGTATTTTTTTTTTTTTTTGAGACAGAGTCTTGTTCTGTTGCCAGGCGCCAGGCTGGAGTATAGTGGCGCAATCTCAACTCACTGCAATCTCCGCTTCCTGGGTTCAAGTAATTCTCCTGCCTCAGCTTTCCTAGTACCTGGGACTACAGGCGGATGCCACCACGCCCAGCTAATTTTTGTTTTTAGTAGAGATGGGGTTTCACCATGTTGGCCAGGATGGTCTCGATCTTGACATCGTCATCCGCCCACCTCAGCCTCCCAAAGTGCTGGGATTACAGGCGTGAGCCATGCACCCAGCCAATCTTTGTATTTTTTTTTATAGAGACAGGGTCAGTATTCCTATGTGACCCAGGCTGGTCTTGAACTCGTGCACTCAGCTGATCCTCCTGCCTCTGCCTCCCAAAATGCTGCGATTACAAGCATGAGCCACTGCACCTGTCTCCTATCTGTCTTTTAATAAGTAGCCTCTAGGATGCTTTTCTGTCCCTCCCAGTCCCTTCAGTATAATCACTTACTTCCTCCTTTGTGACCCAGATGTACTTTGGGTTTTGTCATAATACCTATCACTGATAATAAATGATTGTTTATCTGTCTGTCTCCCCGTGAGCACAGGCTAAGAGGTCCCCAACAGCACAGAGTATGTTTTACTCATTTATTCAATTTTGTATGCCCACCATGTAGTTTATTGACTGGAACATGGCAAAGCACCCAATAAATGGCTATTCAGGGAATGAGGATTGTGATAAACATGAGAAACACTCCTTCAAATAAGATTGTTAAACTCATCCTAAACTGACCATTATGTGAAAAATCTCTTAAAATAATACATCCTTGGCCAGACACAGTGGCTCACACCTGTAATCCCAGCACTTTGGGAGGCTAAGGCGGGTGGACCACGAGGTCAGGTGTTCAAGACCAGTCTGACCAACATGGTGAAATCCCGTCTCTACTAAAAATACAAAAATTAGCTGGTGTGGTAGCACGCGCCTGTAATCCCAGCTATTCTGGAGGCTGAGGCAGGAAAATCACTTGAACCTGGGAGGCAGAGGTTACAATAAGGCTAGTTGAGCCACTGCACTGCAGCCTGGGTGATAGAGCAAGACTCCGTCTCAGAAAAAAAAAAAAAATACAGCCAGGCTTGGTGGCTCAAGCCTGTAATCCCAGCACTTTGGGAGGCCGAGGCGGGTGGATCACGAAGTCAAGAGATCGAGACTATCCTGGTCAACATGTGAAACCCCGTCTCTACTAAAAATACAAAACATCAGCTGGGCATGGTGGCG